TGTCCATGTGGTCTGCAGACCACTTAGCACTGGCTTAAAACCCCCTCCAGTGTTTAGCAGAAGACTGTTAAGGAGCTAGGGCTACAGGGCTCAGGCTGGCATGTACAATGAAGTAAAGGTGCTTTGCTTAGAAAGAGAAAGAATTTGGAGTCAGCTAAGGATGAAATACTGAAAATTACTAATTTGTGTGTGTGTAGTTCAGGTTTTGATTCTATATGGTACCTTCAGATAAGGCCTTACTTGCATTTTCTCACTTTGAACAGAGAAGACAGACGTATCTCACTAATCATTCTTAGGAGATTCCCTATTTGACTTGTGAATTCTGTAGGAGAAATTAATTCCTTCAAAGTATTATCACTGAAACTTAAAGTTAAAAAAACAAACAAACAAACAAGTATCTGTTGATGATATACTCTGGAGATGTGTACTTCTGCAACACAATTTGATCTAAATTAAATGTTAAGAAGATTAAGCATCACGTAGTTCACATTGATTTATAACAAATCAGGCATTTCCATCAGTGTACCATACTAATACTGTGGTTGTGTTAATAACATGCAGTCACTGTCTACGTCAATTAGTAAGACCTTGCTGGGTTCCTTGTTTATATGGTACTAAAGTCCTACGCGATCTAAATGGGTCACTGACCTCTTACAGCAGCAGTAACAGGCATACTTTGCACTCGCACGGCTCCTTTCATCTCAGGGCACTTCTGAAACACGAATTCTCGTTACGTCCCCGTGACACACAGGTAGGCAGGTGTTCCTGCACACTTCAAAGCCAGGTGGACTGTGTGCAGCTCAACGAGGTTATGTAACTTGGCCCAAATTCCCTGGGAACAGCTGGGAATACGAGCTCTCCAGTTGCTTGTTCTGAATGTCCAGACAATAACACTTACCCAAAAAATGAGCTTCATAAAGCATTAATCAAAATGTTTAACCCCCTGCCAGGTTTGGAAATGGCATGGACAGAAGATAAGCTCACTAATTCTTTTTGATACATTATTCATGACTTGTTCTGCTTTTCTGGCAACCCCCCCCCCCCCCCTTTTTTTTTAAGGAAAACAAACAAAAGAAATCCATTCAAATACAATAAGGTTTGTTTTTCAAGCACTTATTGAAAAAAAAAATCTAAAATGTGTAGCACCTCCCTTATGGCTTGACTGTTTGAACCCAGCTACTGAACTGTGCGCAACATACAGCAGCTTCTCTGCGGGACGAGAACACGCCGTGATCTCAGCAGAAAGCAGTAGTCAGACTCCGCTTGGTTAGGTTCGGTTTCCAAGCAGCTGCATGCCACTGAACATTATGTCTGCATACCTAATAGTTTTGTTTGTAAATAAAATTGCCCAACCAATTGCTAGTGACATCGGTTGAAACGAATGGTTCAGGGCCTGGTGATACTATTCTGTGATTGTAGCTAGAAAGGAAAAAACTTACCGTTTCAGTGGATAACTACGGGACAACTGCAGATAGGCCTGCACTGAGGGTTCAGACTATTTTCAAAATACTGCTATTTGTCTGTCCTTTGCCATTCTGTGAGCAGCAGTTATCAGCCACACTTGCAAATAGCCTTTCATCCTGCTTAAGGCTGACTGTGCACTTGTGAGAAAGTTCTTTAACTAATTTGCACCTTATTTTCTCCCCTTTATAATAACAATAATGCAAATGTACACACAAATTACAAATTAGGCCATCATAATCTACGTGAGCAGCTTTGACACTGTTTTAAAAAGAAAATCCACGGAAGGGGTAACAAATTTTTGAGCTCACAGGGTAACAGCAGTGTTATTTGCTGGGTAAGTTGTTTGAGGTTGTGCTCCACTCCACCGCATGGGAGCAGTTAATCTATTTACTTCCAAGCAAGTACGTCTAACAAAATTTTCCATGGGAGCCAGGATTTTTAATGAAAACTCTGATCTACAGCAACCAATTATAGTGAATCTGGGAATAAGATGTTGAGAGCTGAATGCTCTCACTAGCCGAATGAAGGGGAAAATCTCTCTTCTGGTGGCGTTAAGCTCTCTGGATGAAAAACTCTGTTGTGTGTATTTGTCTGTATGTGTGTGTATACATGGAGATAAATACATATCTGCATGTGCATGCCTACATGCACACATTTGTGCAGAAAAGGAGAACTGAACCAAAATATTTGGGATAATTTTCCTGAAGGCCTTACTCTCAGCAGAAAACTTCCGAAAAGCTTTGCTGTACTGTACATAAATTGTAAGGGAAACAGTGGATTAGAAATGGTTTACTTCACTAGACTTTTTAGTGATTTACCTGGTCATACATCAGGAGTGCTTTTTCTGGTAGGAAAAAAAAAAACAACAGGTATTTGTCTAAGAAGGTTTTACGAGGTGAACAGATGAGGTTAGATGACTAGACTGGAAAAACTCTGTCATATAGCCTTGGCCTAAAGCGTTATTGGATTAGGGTCCGAGGGTCACCAGGAGACATTTCACTGCCTATAGTGGTGCTGGAACAGACTGCAAGAGATGAGCGTATCAGTTTTCATGAGCACTGCTCCAGCATTTTTTACTTTCCACAAACTAAACAAAATTGTCATGGGAGATGTATCGTATAGGGCAAGGATGACAATCACAAACTATGTTCTGCAAATATTCTATATCCTTCCTGTAAATCTCCCACAAAGAAGCAAGACATCTAGAGACAGCAGCATACCAAGGATCTGGCAGCTTCCTACTGATGCTGGCTGTTGAACAAAACTGTTCAACACCTAGAAAAGCCTCCCAGGTAAAAAAACTGAAATTCTCTGTTTCTCATTTTTCAATCCCAGGCTACTATTACTAGGTTTTGTTAAGAAGGCTCTGCTTTGAACACTGCTTCCAAGTACTCTTCCCCTTTGAGAGAGCAATGTACGAATTCAACTTCTTAAAAGGGTTAATGAGTTAGGGCATTTTTAAAGACCTCTTCCTCCCTTTGCAAGTAAAGCATGTTCTCTGCCCAATTTTCTACAGTCACCTCTTACTTCCGACCTATAGTTCCTGTCTCTTTCACAGCACTGTCCAGAGGGGGTAACTTCACTTCATGTTAATTTGGCTGCCATGATCATTCCTAGAAATCTTTTTTATCTGAAGCATACATTCACAGAAGGATGTACCGTAGCCTTTTCGGAGCTATCTGTTGGCACACCCATTCTTTTATGTTGCTTACATTCAGGCCTGTTATTAAAATTATTACAGTTTTGGAGAGCAGAAACGTGACTGGCTCAGCAAGTCAATGTATTTTCAGCAATATAAGTCCAACAGTAATGTCCTATAGGTGTAAAAAATAACTCCCTGTATTACATACAGGAAAATAAAATTACTTTGCTTGTTGTCTGTAAGGGGATCTCTTCAGATGTGGAGTAACTTGTCCCTGCCTCAGTTTCCAGATTTCCTTGGAGGTAAGTCTCCCATCAGGCTGGTATGAAAACCATCTTTCCAGTTTCCATTCCCGACTAAAGGTTTTCTGCAGGAGTCTCCCTGCTGTTTTTTTTTTTTTCTTCCTTTTTAATTAAGCACCTACCCACCCAGTAATCTGAGACAGCAGATACCCCAACTCCCCCAGAGGGGCCAATCCCAACCTATGACATGGCTATCAAACAAAAACCAATTTCTGAGACATTTTCTCCATGATGCTGTAAAAGTTAGATAAGATAGGTAAATAACATCCACATGTTAACATCCCTGCCATGTAACTCGTTCCAGATCAGACTGAAGGGCCCTCGTTTATAAAATTGCAATCTTTTACTTGCTAATTTTTCAAATTCTACTCTAGAGCATTCTGAAGTTGATGGGATGTTTTTAAGAGCTTGACAAGGATTTTGAACTAAGCTGACCTTGTATGAAGTAAACTGCATACATGCACCTGTCATACCACATTTGCTAAATAAACTGCTTTCCATTTAGCTTCTGTTATGTTTTTAATATGACATAGTTACCAGCATTTAAGCCCCGTTTTCCTTGCTGTCTCTACCTTTTGTTTCCCTTGTTTTCCCCCAGCTGTGATTTATAGAAGACTGGCTTACTAGGAAAGTACGTAGTTGTTAGACAAAGATGGAATTGCATTTTTTTTAATATCATGGTTTACTCAAATTTAAAGGGAGAAAAATTATATTAGGACAGCCATGATAAACACATGGTTGATGTTTACTGCTTTTCCTACCGCAACATCTGTCCTTCGATTTTCCTCTTTACAAATCGGTGAAAGTACGCGCTCGTTTTCTGGTGTCTTTGCTTACAGAGCAAGGGAGCATGTGCCTATTCTGGTTAGAAAGCAAGAGCTGCTCAGCAAAACTGAGTGATTTAGGACAAGGCAGAAAGTGACACGAGATGCAATACTTACTGTGGCTGCCCATCTTAACGCTTGTGCAGGAGCCTCAGTGCATTGTGCGCTATTATAAAGGGAGCCCCTATACATGTGTATGCCTGCCTGACACAGGACCGGGCCCTTACCTGTCATAAGCACCCGAGGGAGCGCCCAGCGAGCTCTCCGCATCGCGATGCTACGCCAAGCAAGCATCCCTACGGAAAACCTCGGGCCGAGGGGGCGAGGGCATCAATCCCAAACCTAATTCGTGCTTCCCCCCGTGCTCTCCCTCACGGCGGGGGCCCTGTGCGCCAGGGGGGAGGCAGGGAGAGGCTTCACCTGCGGCCCCGGGGGGATGCGGAGCTGCCCCCCCCCCCCGGCTGAAGAGGGGACCCCGCCGCTGCGGCACCGCCGCGCCGGGGCTGCGGTGGGCACGGGGAGGGGAAAAATAGTAATAATAATAACAATAATAATAAATAATAATAATAAAATTATAAATAAAGCAAGACCCGGCCGAACACATTATGTAATTTATTATATAATCTTGGGGAGAAAAAAAAATATATATTTAGGTAGAAGTCGCCCTCCCTGCAGCCAGCCCCAGCCCCCGGGCTGCGCGCAGGGGGGAGCCGGGGGAGGGCGGCGGGGCCCGGCCCGGCCCGGCTGGGCTCGGCTCGGCTGCCTTACCTGCTCCCCGAAGTCGATGGCGATGTTGGTGATGCCCAGCGGGACGAGGAAGCGGATGAGGGGCCAGTAGTTAGTGAGCGCTGGAAATTTCACCATAGTCCCAGCTGCGCGGGGGCCCCAAGCGCATCTGCCGCGGCGGGAGACGGGCGAGGGGGGACGGCGGCGAGGAAGGATGAAAGGGCGCAGGAGGAGGAGGAGGAGGAGGAGGAGGAAGAGGAGGAGGAGGAGGAGGAGGAGGAGGAGGGTGGCTGCGTGTCGGTGCGGCGAGAGCAGCGCCGAGCCCCCCGGCACGGTCCCTCCCTGCCCGGCGCTGCGCGGCGCGGCGCGGCCCTGCCGGGTGCTGTCTGTGCCGGCTCAGCAGCACGCCCGGCAGATCAAGTCCATCCCCGCTGCCCTCCTCCCACACGACAGCGAGCCGCCGCCGCCGGAAAAAAAAAGAGGAGGGACACCGCCGGCCGCTCCTGCGGGCAGCGCTGCCATCCTCGGGGCGAGGGGGCAAGGGGAAGGGCGCGGAGCAAGCCCCCCCCCTCCGCCTGACGCTCGCCGGCGGCAGGGCGACGGCTGCAGCGCCGCGCAGGGAAACGCCGCCCTCCTCTTCCTCCTCCTCCTCCTCCTCCTCCTTCTCCTCCTCCTCCTCCTCCTCCTCCTCCCCGCCGCCCCGGGGGGCCCGGTGCGGGGCGGTGGTGGCGGCGCCGCTGTCCCGAGGCACGTGTCTGTGACACACGGGCTGTGCTGCCGGAGGCTCGGGGGGAGAGAGCGGCACCGAGCGGCTCCTCCTGACGAAGGAGAGCCCGGCGGGCTGCCCCGGCCCCGGCACCTGTCGGATAGAGGGGCACGGAGGGGGCTGACCCCCCAAAAACGTCGCCTTCCCAGCGGGTCTGCGGCCGCCCTACGCCCGCCCGGTGCCATTTTGAGGCGGGGGGCACAGCCCGGGTAGAAACAGAGCTGGAGGCTCCTCCAGGTCCTTCAGGCTTCATGCAGGGGCACTTGGAGAGCTACAGGAAAGCTGTGGGGCCGTAGCCAGCCATGCTCGTGGCTTTTGTCTGATAAAACACCCGAAATAAATAAATGGAGAATGTTGGCCAGCGTGATCTGTTTGCTATCCAAAGCCTCTGCCTGAGATCTGGGCAAGGGGAAAGCGTTCGTGGCCCAGCCCTGCACGCACGAGGGTCCTGGCGTGGCTTTCTGAGCCACAGCCTTGGGAAACTGAGAGGCCCTTTCAGTGCAAGGTGTGGGAGGAGGAAAACAAAGCCCTTCTGAACACTTTGCGGAAGTTTTTCAGCATTTTAAATCTTGCAGGGGGATTTGGGGGTTTCCTTGTAATTGAGTTCCTCTGTAGCGTTCAGCCTGATGATATCACCTTTCACATCTCAAGGCGACAAAGCTTAAAAAGGAGGGTTGGCAAGTATCTCAGGAAGGCCAAAGTCACGTGCAGCCTAAAATGTCCCTGCTCCTCAGGAGGGCGGTGGCCAGTGGGGGAGTGGTGGCAGCCTTCCTGACCATAAGACTTGTGCTAAAATGTTCACATGAGCGAGAGCCATTCCACATATTTTGGAGAGTCAACAGGAGGCGAGCTCTGAAGATCCTTAACAGGCAGATGGCTTGCTGTGGGGTGGGGTTGGGGCAAAGCCAGCCTCAGTTGTCGCTGGAGGTTTTATCCCTCCTACAGCTGGAGTTTGGCACACCTAGTAGTAGCCCATACACAGACATGTGGCCCAGCCTTCCTTATGGACACGCAAGATCAAACTCAAAATGTTTATGAGCCCTGTGAGGGTGCAAACCTGAATTTGTCTTGTAGATCAATTAACATGCCACAGGCATGGTGTCATGGGGATGAGGCAGTGGAGCAGTGTAAAGCAGAGGACAACAAACTGAGAAGCGTGGAGCAAGAGTTGTTTGTAATTGTGTAAGTGTGTCTTTGAATTAACAGCATGATTATCTTCGTCTTCCAGAGGAAGATCCCCCTCTTTATCCTTCGGCAAACAGTATGCCCCTGAAGCATCAACAGGAGAATAAATCCAGAGCTCAGTGCCCCAGCACAGCCTGTGGTTGCATCCATGTGAACGTTGTGTGATTATTTTTCAGGGTGGTGTTGAAAAGTGCAAACTAATTTGTTTTCCAAAGAAAGTAAACTGTAAGCTCTGTTCAAGGGAGGTATCTAATCATCTCTAGACCTTGCTGGGGATCATGAGGTTTTGAACCAGTGGTTGGTCCACAGGACAGCTTCAGATTGTGGCTGTGATGGGGAGCACTGAGTCCAAGCAACCAGGCTTATGTTAGGCTGGAGTAGAAACTCCAGTGTAGAGATAAAGGCCTTAGTGCCAGCTCCTTTGCTTCACTTGTTCGTTCGCACCAAGCTGGATTACATACCCGTCAGTTTAGACAGAGCCTGTGTGTAGGCTTATGTGCAAGGCTGCAGAAGATCCATGTAGGTGGGCCCTTTCTTTGGACAAAGTTAATAGCTTTTGAAGACAAAACTGGATATATTCCAAAGCATTAATTTTCCTGAGATTGTATTTGGTTTTAGATAACTCTATTGTCAGTAACTAATTTCTTTGTGATAGGACTGGATTTTATCGTGAGTGAGGTCATTCCTCATTGGCATGGGTCTAAGAAAAACCTGGAGCTGAAATTGTGGAACAACATTGTTCACAGCTCCATATTTTTCCATATTTTCTAGTTAAGTTTTGCTATTTTGTTTCAGTTTAGAGCAGTGTTTTTTGGTTTGGTTTGTTTTGTTTTAGGGGAAAGAAACATTTAGCGCTGTTCTTCAGCAGAGAAAATTGAAAGGGAAACCCCCAAACCATTTGTAAATATATGACTTTAACTTGCCATTTGAAATTTTCAGGTGAGCTGATGTTTGAGGACTACCTCCTTGCATTCCTGGCAAAAACAAGCCACCACAAAATTAAATCAAAACATTTGAAAACCGAGCACATGGCTTACAGTAATAATTATAAAGCATACACAGTGATCAATTATTTTGTCACAAAATTATGTTCAGACCTGGAAATACTAAGACACCTGAGTAGTTTAATGGAGTGTAACAGAAGCATATCCATTTGGGGATTTATTATGTATTTGTAAGGTAGTTGATCAGTGGGTAGTGGATCAGGCTTCTTACATCTGTAATTAATTACCATCTGATTAGGTCACATGAGAGTTCTGATTAACTTTTGGTCTTCCTACTGCTTAAAGCAATAGAATAGTTTTAAGACTAGTTTACATTTACTTCATAACCTGTACAGGAATGTACTAAGAAAATGTTAACATAACTGATGCTCTCCAAGTCCCAGATATTAAAATTATTAAACTGATTTAATAAACTATTGGACTATTTTTTAGATTTGTCTGTCTTCTCATTCATGTCTTCTGTTTATGGGATGAATGTAGTTCTTGTATGCTTCTTTTCCAGTCCAGGTCATATTTACTGTTACAGAACTTAGTCCTTCAAATTTGTTAAAGAAACAAAATTGTGTTTGGAACCAAAGAACAAGGATGGCTTCTTACATCTTGAAGTCAGTAGTTTGCTCAGCTGATGAGCTGAGGAAATAGGTCATTTTAGCTGTCTTGGGCAAAAAACAGTGATTAGTAATCATTTCCTTTCTAGCATATTTTCTGTTACACTACATTCTTACTCATATACCAAACACTGTCTGTTTGTTTAATGGAATAATAAAGACACAGAGAGAACAGCGGGAAATAATTAGACATAATCTCTCTGCTTTAGATAGAAAAGATCTAGCCCAGGGATATCTCGAAACAGGGCAGTCACTGGAGATGGAAGTCCATGTGGACCGTGTACAGTTTTGTAATATATATTGCATACCATAATTCTCTGCAGTGGATTATAGTATGAACGACGAAGCGATGAAGCATAGCAGCAGAAAGCTTCTTTGTGCCTGGTAGTGAAAGGTGCCTGTAATTTCTGCTTAAGCAACAGGGTCGAAGTCTGAAGATGTACCCCCAGCAGATTGCATGAGGCAATCATACAATTTAGCTTTACTCATGCTATCAGAAACCTAACATGCAGGTCAGCATATGAGCTTTAACATGTGTTAAAGATTCACGGTCCTTTCCTGAACTTACAGCAGGCCCCTCACCAGAGCTGCAAGATGGGTATCTTGAGAGGCCCCTGCTATGGTACTGCCTTGCTTCAGAAAGATGCCTCTATTTCGTTGTTGAGACTACTGCTAATTAGCTACCAGAGAAAATGAGTCTTGTGTTTTTTTTTAATCACTGCGCTTGGTCTTTCCATCCCCAGCTGGCTATTTAGCTGTCAACCTTGCTTTGTGGAGTTGCTGGCTCTCTTCCAAACCTTATCTTCTACCTAGGGTATTATTTTTTTTCCCCTTACAGTCTGCCAATTGAGAAACATTCAATGTATAAGAAATTCAGACTAGTGTATAACAAAATTTGTGAGCCAATTATTCCGTGTAGGATGGACAAATTGGGTTTCCCGGCCTACAGCATGGCCGATGATCCTGGTCTCTGAATGGCCTTGGGCTGGAAGAGAGCAGATGGCAACTATTTTCTACTGTCTGAGAAAGCAGAAGGACATCTCTACAGTCATGTTCTGCTTCTGTCCTCAGTTATTCTTGCAACGGTTGCTTCTTGCAGACACATCTTTTAAGTTGAAATTGAGTCTGATGCATATAACAATAATTAAACCGGGAAGTTTGTCATTTTAAAATGTTGTCAAACTATGAGTGAACGTTACTGCAGGAATGCTCAGAATATGCATTTATACTTCGTGGAAAAAGAACCATTCATATTTAATATTGAGGAATAAAACGTAAAAATCATCTGCCCACTAACTTTGTTTGGGGACTGGCCAGACCGAAAGATCGGTTTTAAGGAATTTTCACGGCCCAGCATGATGCAGCCCTTCTTCACCCAGGACCCCAGTTCTGCAGAAAGCCGGTTTCACAGGCCTCGGAAAGAAGATTGTCCTTTTTCCTGAAAGGCAAAGGAGAGTCATATACACAGCACCTTCTCATCTTAATTGTAAACTAGGCCTATGTCACTGCAATTACCGAGGGCATTGTGTTCTTGGGCTGCGTGCCTGGCTGTGACTTCTGGGCTACTGAAGTTCATAACTAGAAAGAATACAGAAATGCTTCAGGAAAAGGCTATATATTTAAATAACATTTTATTCCATGAAGGGGTAGAACTGAAATGAAAGATCAGAAAACAGGAATTAGGGTTTCCAGTCAGACAAGTGCCCGAGTAATCCAATTCAAATTTAACTACAAGCTCTGTGTGAAGAATAAAAATGATCTTTCCAATTGTCCCCTCCCTAAGGCCAGTCTGCTCTGGCCTCAGCTGGCTTGTCAAGTTAGATGATAAAGATGGGGGCCCTGCAGGAAGCCCGTGTCTTTCTTTTTTGTCTGACACAAGTGCATTGGGAGCTTCAGGCAAAGCTATTTCCCAACTCATGAAGCAGGAGAAGCTTCCTATTAATACTTAATAGACCAAGATAAGAAGAATGGCAGTTTTCAGTGGCGCAAGGAGACCTGGGTCAGTCAGCTGGCCCCTGGCTCATTTTTCAGGTAAGAATCAAAATGCTGCAGGAGATCTGCAGCAGGGGACCAGCACCAAACATGCCTCTACCACAGGGCTTCTAGGAATATTTAC